TCTGGGAACATCTCGGAGTCCCCCAGGACGAGCTGGAAGGTGTCGCTGGGGAGAGTGGGGTCTCCTGCTGCAGCCCCCGAACCCGATCATGGATGAGCTGGACGGACGGAAAATTTATATTGTTAGCCTAAATTATTACATTTAAAATTATAACTCTAATTCAAGCAGAATAGCCTATTGTCAACATAATTATGCAGTGTGATTTATTTTCAACTCAAAATATCTTCAAACTAACGAAATATAAAGTTATTAGGGAGGAAAACCCGTCTGGATAATAGCAGACTGACTGCTGGTAAAATATACGACAGGTCAGGACCACTCGTGAATTTTGTTCGTATCTGAAGAAAATCTTAGAATACGAAAACATTGGTGAATGCCACAATTTCTCCTAAACAAATCTGTGCATACGAATGGTTCTTGCATGAGGCCCAATGTTAGAGGATTAAAGTCTTCACAGCTCTGGTTTTGTAAAATCGTTGTTGCTGGATAATCTTTCTTTATGGAACTTTTCTTTTTGCTATTAAATAATTGCATTATTTTAAGGCTCAGCATCCCTTGAAGGAAAACATTATGACCAATATGACCCCCATGCGAAGTGGGGGTCATATTGTTTGTTTTTTAGTGATTTTTGGTCAATTGTAGCACGGAAACGGCTGCACTGACCAACATGACATTTAGCAGAAATGTAGATGAGTCTGACCTACACTGCGCCAGCCAACGGTTTTACAATAGACCCCATATTTCAGGAGGGGGCTTCATCTGAAAAGGGGGTGTCTGGACTTATAAAAATTCTTATAACTCAGAAACTAAGGAGCTWCAGATTTTTCTTATTGTTTAGCTCTGATGAAGGKCTATCTATCGGACCCACCAGTGAGGCCCCAAGCTTTCGTGTTCTGTTAGCATCGTCTTGTGAACGACGCTCGGCTTCTATCGAAGCAACTTTTAGCTTAATATCTGTAAAAATGTCTGAGTTATAATTTTTTATTTATTTAACCTTTATTTAACCAGGAAGTCCCTTTGACACTAAAAACCTCTTTTGTTTAAGAGAGACTTGGCCAAGATCATCATCAGCAGCAAATTCAACACGTAGTTTCACATCTCAGTGAGACAAACAATTTGAAAACAATAAAATGTTTAAATTACAACAAGTGAAAAACAACAGTTACAAGTTATGCAGTCAGTCTCCAGACCTTTCAGTTTTGGTTTAAAAACACTCTGTTTCCAGTCTTTCTGCAGTGTATTCAAGGTGCAGAATGAACAAAAGCCTTTCTTCCCAATTCAGTCTGAGCAAATGGAACAGAAAGCGTCAAAACGTGCTGCGAGTTGGATGGAGTAAGAGACGGTGCTTTTCTTTTCAAAGTACAAATGTAAGAGGGAAGAAGTCGACATATTGCCTTGTATATGAATGGATACCAATGGCAGAGCCTCCTGGTGGCCCGAGCTGCCTTTCTACCCTCGAGTACAACTCAGTGATGTGTCAGTGCCTAATGAAGCTCAGAGGTTTGATAAACAGTGTCAATCAGAAGACATTCAGCAGATGTGTTCTCTAAAGATCTCCATAATCACTAGGGCTGTGTATTGGCAAGAATTTGTTGATACGATACATATCATGACAGAGGGGTCACGATATGATATATCCCGATATATTGCGATACTGTGAGCAA